TGTGTGTGTGTGTGTGTGTGTGTGTGTGTGTGTGTGTGTGTGTGTGTTGGTGTGCAGGCGTAAGTAAAATGTATGTCATTTATCCTGCAGCCAGAAAATGTCACATCCCGTTCTGAAAGTTCTTTTTACGAAGAGCCTTTTATACCAAAGCCCTTTACATTAGCTGACACCTTCAATATGAAACTGACAAAATTCTAAAAGAAGAGGAAGATGTGAAGAAAAATAGTGAGCGGAAATAATGAAAGACAAGTGGAAACTGAGTAAAGTCAATCTTTCACCTTCTCTTTCCTTCTCTCGTCATCTCTTTTCGCATCAGCCGTCCCGACTCTCCAGGACGTTAACCTCCCTACAGCACGTCTAATTGCTCCTCAGGACACTGTGTTTTGATTGGCTCGTGATTATATCAATTTATTGGCCCTTTTATAATCAGCCAATCAGCTCACCCACCCTGCAATCAGGAGAAGTGTGCTGACACAGTGGGATCTGGTAATCAAAAGAGTGACTCTGTTCATTTACACCACAGAAAACCACAGGGCCTTGAAATAAAAATGAAACCGAGCAGAACAAGAGCTGACCTTTATCGCTATTGTAGAATTGAATTAGGTTCGATATATAAATTCTCCAGCAGGCTCAGCCATTAGTGGAAATACATTTTAACGTTTTTAAATCAGTGCAGTAAGTGGATCGTGCAACTGCCGCCATCTCGCCTCCTGGAGATGGTTGTTGCGCTTCGTGAATCTTGTTCACTGCAGTGCACGCAGTCAGAAAGGTTTCTTCTCATTACAGTTAAGTAGACTCGGCGGCCACGTGCCAGGCCTCAGCGTTATCATGTGACAGCAAATAAGGTTATTGATTGGGCAGAGAAAAAGAAGAGACGACGGCGTAAGCGTTTCCTGTTGAAGCAGGAAGTTGATGGATGGAGAGGAGGGACGAGGCGGTCAGAGACTGAGTGCTGTCCTGCTTCCAGTCATGTGTCCATCTGTCTCTGTCACTCTCTGGTTTTCTCCCATCGACAGCTTTCTCTCCCCTATAGCTGTCGCACCATTTTTCGGGGATTTCTGCCCGGCTCTTCTTCGTTTCCATCCTCCATCCTTCTCTTCCGTTCTGGCCATCACCCTCTCTCTTTCCACAGCCTGTCTTCAACCCTTTATGGCTTCAAATCCTCCCTGTATTCTCATAAAATACTTTAATCCTTCCACTTTAAAATTTTTTAAGTTTGTCCCATTTTTTTTCATGTGTAAAATCTGTGGGGTGCCCCTTTATTACACACAAAGCAACAATAATACGTAAAACAAGGTCATGAAATTCCTTAAATTACTAAACGTGAATCCCAAAGTCCAATGTATCGTTGAGGGGTCTTCAATCTGATCAGTAACCCAATAAGGCCCTGAATCACAACAATGTTAGCAAACACGACAGCGAGGCTCGTTTCGATTGCGTCACCACTGTGCAAGATGCAGTCCCGAAAACTTTGCAGGTGTGAAGTTGAGGTCAAAATAAAGGTTGAGTTTGAATATAGCCGTGGTCCGAGCAAAGACCAGGGTAGGAAAGGGGCCCAATGGGACCCCCCTGGCCTGATCTGGCATCGTAGAAAGATGGTCTTTGGTAGCTGGTTTGCTCCCATTGTCAAAATGCAACAACTGGATCCACCATTTGGATAATAAAAATCTGCCACTTTCATCTTAGCCAACTTAATGTTGGAACAGTTACGACACTGACAAACGTCCCAGAATGCAGTTTAAACTACATATGCCAGTAGTAAACAGGAAAACTAGACTTTTAGTGGATATTTATAAAGCCTATCTGTCACAGTGCTGGACCAGGATTCATTTTGGCAGAACCTTGTGCATATGCCTGAAACTGGTGCTTCAGAAAATAAAATGAGCCAGTAATCAAATCGTATTGTCAATCAAGGATCATCCAATCAAAGCAGAGCATAACGTCCATGGCCTTTTGCTGATATTTGAAATATCAAATAGCAATGGAAAGTGATTTTTAACCTCATTCACTTTATTTTTATAACATTTCCTTTAATGTGCAACATTTACTGAACACTGATTCATATAATAAAACGTACAGATGCACACGTGGAGTCTTTCTACCTGTCTCCTCCTTGGTTTCCCAACATACCATCTCATAACATCTTTTTGTCTCGTTCCTCTTCTTCCTTCCTCTCACCTTTTCTTTCTCCCTGCCTCTCCTCCCTTGTTCCTCACCTTCTCTCTCCCGGTAAGTCAACCAGGGAGAGTCTTCTGAACGTCAGTGAAGAATTCGCTGCCAATTGAGTCCCCGCACAGTGAACAGAGCATGAATGATGGCAGCGGATCTATTCAGACTCCTGGCTCGTTAGATTGCTCCCTGTCTGCCAAACTCCAACTCTGTGTGTGTCTGTGTGTGTGTGTCTGTGCGTGTGTGTCTGTGCGTGTGTGTGTGTGTGTGTGTGTCTGTGTGTGTGTGTGTGTGTGTGTGTGTGTGTGTGTGTGTGCGTGTGTGTGTGCGTGAGTTATTGAGACTGCATGCAAAAAGCCTTTCCTCTGTTTCTGACCCTGCTCTTCTCCGTCCTTTTCCTTCCTTCCTACTTTCCTTCCTTCCCTAACTCCCTTGCTCTCCTCTCCTCTGCTGCTCCTCTGCTGTGCTGTGATAGTAATGTTGACACTAAGGAACTCTGTGGTAAGTGGACGGCCCTCACAGACACACACACACACACTTCACTGCCGCTGCCCTCATTTTCTCTCTTATCTATTATTAAAAAGTAGTTCTCACTTCAATTATTTTTCTTCAAAATATATGATATCAATTCAGCGACATTGGGCTAACCACTGCAAATGATTTAGTGACTTGTAAAGTCACACTTGTAAAGTTGTGTAAATCTTCAATTTGCACATGTATGTGTTTGCACAGACTACTTTGCCAAGCACATGGGGGACTATGAGGGAGTTTTGGCCTCGCTGGAAACACTCAACCTTTCCATCCTCAAAGCCATGGACTTCACCAAAAAGGTAAGAGAGTGTGTGTGAGACAGACAGTGGGAAGATGGCCGGGGAACAGCTTTTCTTTTACTCTTGTCATCCAATATTTATCACTCCAACACACCGCCTCCAAAGGTCAGCCAATACATTTTCCGGAGACAAATCATTATTTGATGTCACTTTTGGGTCCAGTTTTATTGAAGTCTAATGGAGAATGTCTAGAATCTATCTTAAGTTTGCTGAACTATGCTTACGTAGGCCACCATAAACCGTAGTACCAGACCAAGTGAGTCTAGCAGTGAATAGAATTGAGTGTTGAATTGCTTATGAGTGAATTTATTTGTGCATTTAATTAATTTATTAATTTTATGTATTCAATCAATGTATTGTTGAGCTTCCAACTATAACCAGTGGTGTCCTAGTTCGCACTTCTCAAGAAGTAGCTTGGGTCGCCCCACTACTGCAGAGCCCACAGAGAATTATCACCTGAATCGGTGGAGCTTTATAGTGACTTTCTGCTCCCTGTTTAGCTGAACGGCCCACAACGTTTCATGTATCGGTTCCCTCCCAGCGCTCTCATGACAGTGTCATCACTGTTTTCAGTGACAAAGCTATAAAAAACACCACCATACTTTACCTGCTCAGCACCAAGTGAACCTAGTGGAGCATTTAGCAGCTAAACAGACATATGTCCTCGGGGGTTGGTTGAGATGAAACACATAACCCTGAAAGAAAAAGAATCTCAAGAAAACTCACAAAAAGTTCAACTTAAAAAGCGATGATACCGAATGTTAATGTTTTAAAACTTGTTTCTGCTACACCAAAAGTCAGTCATTGCAGTTTTAAGATCTATAAAGAGCATATTGATTATTTTGCTTTGGTTTAAATCACATGCAAGCTAAAAGGATCCAGTTCCTTATGAATGGAAATACTTTCTGCTGATATTTGCTTTTGCCTTTTAGTATAGTTGGCTTGTAATCCAACTTTATCTTACTACACTGGTGAGCAGTACTGTTTGTTCTTGCAAAAAAATCCTATGTTTGTTTGTGTGCGTGCATGCGTGTGCGTGTGCATGGCAGACAACTATAGAACACTTATGTGTTATCCTAGTTTTCCCCATTTGCTATATATAGCAGGTGGTCCACAGCCACTCTCCCATATCCATGTCCATGTTACAGTTCTGCTTCTGTGTGTGTGTGTGTGTGTGTGTGTGTGTGTGTGTGTGTGTGTGTGTTGTGTGAAGCACTCTGACTCTGCTCTGTGTGTCTCTATATCTCTATCCAACAGCTTTGTCTTTATCTCTCTTTCAGCTGCTGCAGGCCATTCAGCAGTACACACACACACACACACACACACACACACACTCACAACCTCAGGCTAGGGTCTCTCTAATGATCAGTCATTGTTCAATCAATCTGTCGAGAGTCTCTCTTGTTATGTTGCTGTATCTGAATCACTCTCTTCTTCTCACTCTCATTCATACTGTCCTTTTCCCTGTAACACACACACAAACACACACACACACACACACACACACACTATTCTTTAATGCTGGGATATCATTACATTGTCTGTTGCAGGCAGTATGGAGGAGCGCCAACAGTGCTGTGTAGGGGGTGGACCAGCTCAAAGGGTCAAAAAGCCAAACTGAAGCACAGACACTGCTGACGAGTCAAATATTGATGGAGGTTTTGTGTGCGTTTCAGATTTCACGGCTACAAAAGATTTTTTTACTGCAGAGAGAGAGAGAGAGAGAGAGAGAGAGAGAGAGAGAGAGAGAGAGAAACTGTCTTTGTTTCAAAAACAGTTCAGAGCTTTCAGTCATTGTGAAAACATTTTACTTTTAGATTTTCTTCTCCACTGTGCTTCGTAGTGTTTCCTCTGCCTCTATGTGTTGCTCTTATCTTCACTCTTTTGTCTCCCCCTCTGCTTTTTTGTCATAGTGATTGTGACCAGCACAGGTGTTACCTAATACACCAGACATTTTACAAGAACAGATATTCCTTGATGACGCATGATATCTGTGGAATATTTGTAGATCATAGTCTGTGCTGTATTCTGAACCAAGATGGTCTTTATTGCTCCCACAATGTCAATGGCACTACATTCCAGCTTCAATCCTTCCATACCTTTCACAATAAAAGCCATGGACATCTGCACTGCATCACTGCTTACCAGAGGAAACCCAAATTCCCTCAGAGCATTTTGCTAAGAGGCAACTCAACACTATAGCTTACATTTTGAACAAATCAAATGCTTAGCGCTTGGTTTAAATCTGAAATATATTGCCAAATAGGCACTTTAGCTTTCCGCTTTGACATCAAATCCGCCCAGTCCTGTAGTATTCTGACAAAGTATTTACATAGTATTTTACAAATTAGATTTTTTTTTGATTTGACAAATGCTTATTTGATTTCACTGATACATGAAAATTATTTCTATAGCACAGCAATGTAAACGGTTTAACCCCAAACACCATATAGCACCGCTAACACCGACTACCAAGGCGAGCCTATACTCTGCAGTAGTGGCTCAGACACCCACCACTAGAGCTGTGGATGCGCTAAGTAGAAAATCTGCAGTAGCTCTGCATGGAACAACCTTTAACTCATTCTTATCAACGGAGCCAGTCTCGTAGTGAGTGGGGATGCCATGCCAGAGCCTTGCTGTCATCTAGCAAGGCTCTGTGTCGGCCATTCAAATAAATGCAAGCGCACATTCCTGGTAGAATGCTTTGTAATGTGAACACCCTAGTTTCTACTGAAAGATAAAACGTTTGCCACCGCGATCATTCTTCAGTGATGTAGAATCCTGTGAGTATTGCAAGCCGTTGTGCAGAGTTTTGGTATCTGGTAAGCTTGTAGACACGTTGCTTGAGTTCCCTAGATTGTATCTCATCGTCTCACAGGTCCCTTATACCAGTGGTCCCCAACCACCATCATTTGGTACCGGTCCGCACAGAAAGAATAAATATTATATTATTTCCGTTTTATTGATTATCAGAGTCTGAAAGAAGTTTTATTTTGAAAAATTACCGGATTCTCTCGCAATTTCATCCGCCTGTGCCTCTTGACACATGTCAAGATGCTTGTCTCGGTCACGTGATACGTTACCGCAAAAATTATGCCCGCAAACTAGCGAAAATTTGTAAATAACTTTTGGAGAGCTTCTTTGCAAAGGGAGAAAGGCCATTAAGGAGACAGAAAAATAGCCTTTAACTTCCAAGAAAAAGAAAGCTTAATTTAACAGACAATATCAGGAGTCTGATTAAATATCAGGAGTAATTCTGACACGCCAAACCCGCTTTGCAGAATATGTGGCGACAGGAAGATCAGCTGCTGGAGATTGTAAATGACGGTGGCCTTAAAAGTATGTCTGAGACAACAACTCTGCTGGTGTTTTGGATTAAAATCAAGGCTAAATATCCTGAGATCACCACTAAAGCACTGAAAACCCTGCTTCCATTTCACACATCCTCTTTGTGAAGCGGGATGTTCTGCAGTGACGGCAATCAACATAAAATTACGAAGTAGACTGGACATCAGGAACACACTTCGGGTGTCATTGTCTCCCATTACCCCCAGATGGGACCGTCTCGTTGCAGAGAAACAAGCTCAGGGCTCCCACTGATTCAGCGTTATTGTGAGTTGTATTTATTGATGCATTTTATATTTGTTTTCATGCCGATCGTATCATTTTATTTCGTCGTGTTTTTCCGCCACACCTTGAAGGCCGGTCCGTGAAAATATTGTGTTACATGAATCCGGTCCGTGGTGCAAAAAAGGTTGGGGACCAGCTGCCTTATACAACACGCACCCACCAGCCCCCCATGCTGTTTTAACGTAAGGTTGGCGCTGAAACTTGGATTACTTATGTCTTCACTTACACCTATACATATATCATCTTACGCATTTAGCCACAGGGACAACCAGCTGTCCGGAGGAAACTTAGTGCGCCTTTTAGCCCCCAGGCGCTGCGTCAGAACACGTATGGTTACACCACTTAGGCACTGTGTAAAACGAGGATTGCTGACAGTCGGACAAGTTACCTCATATAGTTCTGTTAGGGCTAGACCTTTTCAGGAGAGACCCAGATGGGACTTTTGCTGCTGCAAACCTTCGGCAGCAAAGTCGCACCAAAAATGAACTGGATCCGGTTAACAATCAAAAAGTATTTAATAAACAAGAGAAGCTATAACAGTTGCAAACTGAATTACTCTATCGATATCAATATGTCCCCAGGGCAGAGTTCTCACAAGGCCCACTAAATAGCCCAGCCCAGCTGGTAAACTACCCAGAGTGGTAACAGCGCGAACTCTGGCAAAACCCTCTGGAACTAAGCCTATATTTAAAAGTCTCTGTCCGAAAGTTTAAATGTCCAGTATCAGCCTCTGTGATTGGCCGAAATTCAATAGCCCCTCCTGGCTTGGGGCAGTTATCATCTCAGTGTTTGGTTGAAGTCGTCCGGACTCCTCCTCAGGTCCTGGTGGTCTGTTGTCCACCCCTCTGTCCTCTGCTGCACCTCTGTGAAGCCTCACTCAAAATGTTCCCTTTCTGACCCTCAAAACTATTCATACAGTGTTTTAATACCTTTAGTGACTATACTTCTATGGTTTAATACATTCAATGAGTAAAATGCTGTAACATATAATATCCTCTATAAGTAAGAATATTGTAAACATATAATACATTCCATAAGTAAATATATTGTGACTTTTTAACATAATTTGACATTCTTATTATTGTGACACTTCTACTCACCACTAGGGGTGTTATTAAATCCTACTAATAATGCTTTTAATACTGAAATCCTTCACAGTTCTTAAAAGATGTCAGACTTCAACATCATCTAAACAGTGCCATCAAAATATAGGGGACACTCAAGTTCCCAAGAACCCACGGAGCTGGTAGCTCAGCTGTGAAATGTACTAGATAAAAAAAAATGTAAAAAAACATACAAAATTTAAAAGCACTTTTCCACTTGAAATCAAATGGTTGAGATTAACAGTGAAATGTAACCTCTTACTCAAA